GTATCTAGTACACACCCTACATACAATAGTCACTAGTCAGTAGATACTACTAACTCTATAGTAGATACTGCTGACTATTGTAGAGTCAGTAGTATCTACTACACACACTACATACAACAGAGGCGGTAGTCAGTAGATAATACTAACTCTATAGTATATACTACTGACTATTGTAGAGTCAGTAGTATGTACTACACACCCTACATACCATAGTCACTAGTCAGTAGATAATACTAACTCTATAGTAGATACTACTGACTATTGTAAAGTGAGTAGTATCTACTACACACCCTACATACAATAGTCACTAGTCAGTAGATACTACTAACTCTATAGTAGATACTACTGACTATTGTAGAGTCAGTAGATACTATTGTAGAGTCAGTAGTATCTACTACACACCCTACATACAATAGTCACTAGTCAGTAGATAATACTAACTCTATAGTAGATACTACTGACTATTGTAGAGTCAGTAGATACTATTGTAGAGTCAGTAGTATCTATTACACACCCTACATACAATAGTCACTAGTCAGTAGATACTACTAACTCTATAGTAGATACTACTGACTATTGTAGAGTCAGTAGTATCTACTACACACCCTACATACAATAGTCACTAGTCAGTAGATACTACTAACTCTATAGTAGATACTACTGACTATTGTGGAGTCAGTAGTATCTACTACACACCCTACATACAATAGTCACTAGTCAGTAGATACTACTAACTCTATAGTATATACTACTGACTATTGTAGAGTCAGTAGTATCTACTACACACCCTACATACAATAGTCACTAGTCAGTAGATACTACTAACTCTATAGTAGATACTACTGGCTGTGCAGTTTACTGACAAGAAGTTCTCTGCTCCTCAACACAAGATCTCTCGCGAAAGTTCCGCGTGTTCCTGCTCGTATTCATATCAATATACTGTCAGGTGTACAATATATTCTCAACATAACACGTGCGGGTATAATACTTATGTCAACGTAGCCACTGCGGCGAACCCGGTTTGTATCGGGGTGTTTTCATGCGGTCACAGCTGAGAATCAAATCACGGTCATGTCCATCGTCGTCATCGTCGTGTGCTCATGTGGCTGATGAAAGCCTAAACAGAATGATAACGATGCGTTTATTAATCAAATGGGTGTTATATTCTTGGTTCTTTCGGTAAAGTCACGTAGAAGGGAAAAAATAAAATATTAAAAATATAAACAATAAAATTCTCACCGACGTTTCGACTGCAACACAAGGCAATCATCGGCAGGTGTGAAAACCACAGCAAGAAAATTTTGGTTTTCACACCTGACGATGATTGCTTGTGTTGCAGTCGAAACGTCGTGAGAATTTTATTGCTTTATATTTTTATTATTTTATTGTTTCCCTTCTACGTGACTTTACCGAAAGAACCAAGAATATGAATCCATGCAGTCACGAAAGCTTTAAATAAAAAAATCAATTGGGTGTTGTTTGTTTTTTTTTAACGCCGGCCATTGCAATTGCAGCTGGGAAGATTCGACTTTTTTTTAAGGCGATTCATTGACTCAAAAGTTGTAATGGACAACTTCGACCGTGGTCGATGACTCGGGACTATGAATGCAGCTGATGAGACCCGTAGCTCGAGACATCCATAACATAGGTCTTATTTTTTTTGGGGGGGGGAGGGGGGGTTAGAAATATATAATTGTGTCGTGAAACCCGCCACCACCCGACACAGCCAATTAATAAGGTTTGTCACGTAAACACAACGTGGCAATTCGTTACTGGTACAGCACTAACCGGGTGTGTTGGAGAGCAAATCCACAACATTTACAAACAGAGTGTACAACGTTTCGAGACATACTGACGATGAGGGTGGGGCGAGGGGGGGGTGGAATGCCGTCCGTCGTCCCCCATCCTCCGCGAATTCAATTTGAATAGCGACAGTCTCTGGCTTCGTCTGGAAGGAAAGCGGAGATCCCGGAAACAAACCCAGCACCACGCCGCCACCTTCTGGCCACACCTCGCAGCAGGCCCACGCCTACAACACCTGGCAAGCCCCGGTGGTGGTGGTTGTTGGTGGTGATTGGTTGGTGGTGGTGGTTGGTGATTGGTGGTCGTCCAAGTTTTATAACCAATCTGCAGCGCGTACAACATCATCCGGCGCGTACCGTGACGGCTACGGAAAGCTCCGACCGTGTCCGTCCCGTGCTCGCCGAGCCGCATCCCGCTTGCCGAACGGATACGTTGCGAGGTGGCACTCATCGCACGCAAAAGTCCACAAATGAACCACCAATACCTCGCCGATCTCGTCAAGTAGCGTGAACCGTCACGTGGACTCCGCTCATCCTCGCAGCAGCAGCAGCAGCGGCTTTTTGGCTGGCCATCGGACAAAGCCGGCGGTCACCGCATTGCGCTCTTTCGGACTGCGCATCTGCGGCCGTCTGGAACGCTCCTCCTTCCGATATTGGGAAGCCTCTGGAGCTATGGCACTTTTACATCTACGTTGAAAACTAATTTCTTTTAAACTGATTTTTGTCTGTTAGTTCGTTGTCATTCCCCGCACCTCGGGTTAGCACGGTTGGCTACGCCCGGTGCGAAAGAAGTTCAACATACATGCAAATATACTGACCAGGCTCCGATCTGCTTAGCCTGCGAAATCCGACTGGATTCGGGCGAAGGTTACATACCACGCATTACCAGGTCACGCCTCGTAGCATGGAATAGTTTTGTGCCGAGCGGAAAGTGTTGGCAAGACAAATTAAGTTGATTTTTATTAAATATATATTTCAAACTATAAAACAGACAATGGCATACAAATCACTCCTCAGCGATACTTGCATGGTCGACTACATACGATGTAAAATAAGTTCTGCATACATGCATGCATGCATACAATACGCACGGCAAGGTAAGATGTTAAATACCTCGCCTGGTATACAGGAGGTCGTGGGTTCTATCCCGCCTGCTGTATATTTGGAGTTTGCGGTGTCTCTCTCCCCGTGGTCGCGTGAATTTTTCTCCGGGTCCTCCGGTTTTCCCCCGCCACGTTCAGAATCCACGTCACGCGTTCGGGCTGTTTGGCTGCTGTACATTTCTACACGATGACGAGCCACTTCGTTGAGCTGTCCTTCATGGCCAGTTCGTTTCTGAAAAAGAGCTACATAGCTCAGTGGGCTTTAACTGATAAAAATATATATAGCTAAGTTTCTATTGGTCAGGATTATGCATGGCCAAGGAAAGAGTAACTGTTTAGAGATTCACTTATAAATTATTTAGCCATTCGATTGCTTCGTCTGAAAATTGGCGAATTGCAGTTGGCGATGTAGCTGTTCACAGCACGGAGAGAGTATTTTATTATTTTATTCTCCACTTGTGCCTTAATCTTCCGTAATGTGTGCGGAAACCGGTTTTAAACGCTGCCCATTGCTTCCGTGGAGCGGTGGTGGTGGGCTCGCTGATGAGCTGTGTGTTGTCGAAGCCGGCCAGTGTGGTGGTGGTGGTGGTGGCGGTGGTGGCGGTGTCTCTGATCAGATATTGCTTGAAGGCCACGAGTTTGTCCGAGCGGATTCGATGCCGACATCTGCGTCACGTGGAATTTTGCGCCGCGTGCATTCCAAAGCGGCCGAGTTCTGGATCTCAGCCGTTGGATGCCGATGCGAGGTTGTCGCTGTCCAGATCATCGGCGATCGGCCCGGAGGTTTTGGCTCGACTTTCGATCAGCGCAGCTCACGCAGCGTTGCGGCAGCGGCGTAGTTTTTAAACTTCCAGTTGTAGTCAGCATTGCGGTGGTCGATCGTCAGGTTGTCGACGGTTATAAACATGTTCACTCTCGCGCTTCTTGACCGAAAACGTTTAGAATACTGTACTGCCTTGCTCATAAGACTTACTGCGCCGCTCTCTTGCCAGCGATGACCACACCTACCCCAATCATCCATAAGAGGTGTTTGTGGGTTAGATCGCGTAAATATATGAACGTGTCGTTAAACCCGCCACCACCAGACACAGCCAATTAATAAGGGTTGTCACGTAAACAGAACGTGGCCAATCCGTTACTAGTTTCAGCACACCGGTGTGTTGGAGAGTGAACCCACAACATTTACAATTCGAGTACGACGTTTCGCTGGTTATTACAAATAGCCACATCAGGCAGCAGCCAGATCTGGCGAAACGTCGTACTCAGATTGTAAATGTTGTGGGTTTACTCTCCAACACACAACTGGTGTGCTGTACTCGTAACGAATTGGCATGTTCTGTTCGTGTACCAAACCTTACTAATTGGCTGTGTCGGGTGGTGGCGGGTTTAACAATACATGAATGTGTACGCGATATAACCCAAACACCTCCATTATGGATATCGGTTGCGAAAGTCTACGTGTTAAACCGACCTACCCATCAACCGAGTCCTCCACACTGTCCCCTCACCGACACAAGTCCCCGATCACCCTTCTGTGATTGCGCAGAAGCTGCTGTCGCCATCCTCGAGTCCCACGCAGATCCGGAAGAACGCTTTGCGAACGGAGTGGAACAACGCGGACGCTCACAATGAACACCTCCTCATTCGAGACCTGAATATCATCGCACCTCCTGGCTTTGACATTACTCCTCGAAGACACCGGTGGTGGAACCATCAGCCGCATCAAAACATCAGCAACAGACCAGTGTGCACTTCTCCTTCGTGAACAGGAAATTGAAGATACAAGCCACAGACGTTCGATCGTGGACATTTAACCCAAACTGTTGACCGTACAGTAAACCACCGTGTACTCTACACTCCTTCAACGGAGGAACAGCAAAACGACACGGACTCCTCTCTCTGCTGAAGCCCTCTCCCATCGTGACAAGCAGCAGCAGCAGCAGGACTTGGACATTGGCATCGAGCTTTCGAACATCCAGCTCCTGAACATCTTGACCACTGCGCCATCAGCGTAATCACTGCCTTGACACTGGGCGGCCCTCATCCACGAAGGGCCCCACCCCCCTCCTTCGCCCCCCTCCCACCCCTCCCCCCCTTACACGAAGGAGCACTCCTCCTCCTCCTCCCCCTTGTCCGCGTCATCGACACCACCCTCGACGGCCACGGCCACCGTCTTCCTGCCCAGCAGGGGGGTCCCGCGGGGCAGCGCGGCGACCCGAATGGCGCCGCGCCTGATGGACGAGCGCACGTCTTCTCTGGCCAGGAAGTAGACGATGGGGTTGAAGCAGCTGTTGAGGCTGGCCAGGCCCCGGCACACCTGGTAGGCGGCGTAGATGCGGCGGTTGGCGGCCGCGTCCGCCCGCCGCAGGTAGAGGCGTGAGGCCAGGTTGAGGTTGCGCGTCACGTGGTAGGGCAGGAAGCTGACGGAGAAGAGGAGGAGGACGACGGCGACGAGCGCGAGGGAGCGGCGCCGCACGCCGGCGCCCACGCTGCGGTTGCCGAGCAGCGTGGAGGCGACGAAGCCGTAGCAGGCGAAGGTGACGGCGAAGGGCACGGCGAAGGTGACGACCGACAGCGCCACGCTGTAGGGCAGGTAGACGAACAGGTCGGCGTCGCTCGCGCTGTCGTAGCACTTGACGAGGTCCCGCGGCGACGGCGACGGCGACGGCGGCGGCGACGTCTTCGCCGCCGCGCCGTCGCCTCCCGCGGGTCCCTCTCGAACAAAGTGGAACGTGGGCAGCAGGAGGATCGCCACGAGGGCCCACACCGCCACGCTCACCGCCCTGGCGGTGCCGGGCCGCAGCCGGCCCCTGGACCAGAGCGGGTGCACGATGCCGGCGTACCGGTGCGCGCTGACGCACGCGAGGAACAGGGCGCTGCCGCCGAGGTTCACGTGGAAGACGAAGCGGCCCGCGCGGCACAGCCAGTCGCCGAAGATCCACGCGGAGCCGTGCGTGTAGTAGTGGATGAAGGGCGGCAGCGAAGTCACATAGAGGAGGTCGGCCAGCGCCAGGTTGAAGGTGTAGACCGCGAGGCCGTTCCAGGGCCTGGCGCGGCGGCAGCAGGCCCAGATGGCGGCGACGTTCGTGAGAAGGCCCACGCAGAACACGAAGCTGTAGATCGCGGGCAGGTAGGTGGACTTGAAGTCCGCGAGATTGCCGAGCTGCGAGCTCAGCGACGTGGCGGCGGTGGTACTTGAGTTGCGATGCATGCTTGGCTTGGCGGGTGGTCGCGAGCTGCTCTGGCAAAGGGGACGCTTGGAAGGGACGCACGGAGGGAGTCACAGCGCGCGTGTGTGTGGTGTTGTGGCCTGGCGTGGCGCTCGCTGGCCAACCCCAACCCCCTCGTGTGCTTTATCGGTGCTGCTCGCTGACGGCACTATGCCCCAACAGTCCGTTAAGGCTACACGGGGGATCTTCGTCTCTTGTGCACGCGGCGTATTCGCGTGGGTGTGCGTACACGCGCGTCTGTATGCGTGTGTGTTTTTTTTATATGTGGACGTGTTCAGCTCTACAGGGCCGTGTTGAATGAAAGGCGGTGAAGTTCTCGTCCAAAGTATATACGCATTCCCGTCATGGGAATGTGGAATGTTCGCCACCGGAATAGGCTATTTGTCTCCAAACAGAACCACCATCGTCGCCCATCACCAATCTCCGCGCTGTAACCCTGCAGGAAATACGGGGCAATAGAGGAGTGAGGTACAACACGGACTCAAACCAACGACCCCCTCGTTCAGCCATTGCACCGACTTTTGCCACTGTTAGCGAGCACCTATTAAGGTCGGTACGGCGCACGAGGGGGCGGTGTAGTCAGCGCCACGCTCGGACGCCTTTGTCTCCCCGCAGTGTCGACCCAGAACCGGAGCGAGTATCAGGCGACACTGATGTTAGCCGAGGCGACTGAACTCAATTTGACGGCCTCATAGCACAGCGAGCTAACTCCCTGGCGTCACGGCTCCTCGCACAAAGGCAAAGACCCCCCCCCCCCCGTATAGCCTTCACATACCGTGGGGGCAAGTGCTGTTAGCGAGGGAGGCCCCATGACCGGTTCGGACAATCGTCACCGGTGTTGGCCACGAGCGGGAATCGAACTCGGGTTGCCGGGTTCGTAGCGCAGCGTAGCGCTAACCGCTACACCACCGCTCACCACGTATACACACACACAAAGACTTCCACACACAAAGACAAAGTTCCCCCGTATAGCCTTAACAGACTGTAGGGGCAAGTGCTGTTAGTAGACCGCGGAAAGGTAAGGTAAAAGGTTAAAAGCAACGAGCCTACCTTTACCCTACCTTTTACCCTCACCCCATACAAATTACCCGATTACAGGGTAGTAATTACTGGGGTACTACTACACATGAACAAGGTTGATAACAGGTAGAGCGCTTTATTCATATAGAATACGCTCGATTATTCCAATTTTACACGCTTTATTTAAACTCACTCTGTCTGTTGTTGTCGTTGTTGTATCCTCAAATCTTGTAACTCAATTTTAACCCACTTCCCAATGTGGTATCGACTGCACAACTTGGTATACTTATGTCATACTGATGACAATACTAGATTTTATCATTAAAAATAAAAACAAATATTTTTAAACAATATTTTTTATACGTTATGTTTCGGCTTGGGTCTAATTTGTCCACGGTCAACTGACGTTGGCTGTACATCACCACGGTCCTCTTACGTTGTGGCAAGCTTCAGGGCCACTTCCTGAAGTTGTGGAGTTCTTACATTACTAGTACGGTACATTTCATTAAAGCGTGTTTTAAAAAAAAAGTTTTTTTTTATATATATATCTATTACTTGTTAAATGTAGGCCACGGACTGCGCCACGGAGCTTTTAGCGGTAAACAAGGCACCGTATTTACCGGGTTAATACTTCGCGCTGCCTTTACCCTACCGGGTAATTCTTACGAGCTCCCTTTACCCTACCCTTTACCTTACCCCTTGGCATGTCGACACCTTTACCTTTACCCTTTTACCCGGTAAAAAGGGTAAATTACTTTACCTTGCCGAGGCCGAGCTGTTAGCGAGCACCTATAAAGGCCGGAACGGCACACGAGGGGGTGGGTGGCCAGCACCACGCCCGACCGCCTTTGTCTCCCCAGTGACGATGGTTACGCACCGCACCGGGTACTCATTTGAGGCTGAGTCGACCTAGGGGAGGCCCGGGACCGGTTCAGATAATCGTCACCGGTGTTGGCCGTGAGCGCGGAATCGAACTCGGGTCGCCGGGTTCGTAGCGCAGCGTAGCGCTAACCGCTGCACCACCGCTCCCCACGCACGCGCAGACTTCCACACACGCACACACTCGCATGCCACAGCAGCGAATTCTCCACACTGTTCACAACGGGGCGTAGCGAGTATGCGATGCCTGCGGGCTACGAATTCATTTCCACAATCATCCCTTATAAGGCGCACGGCTTATCAAGTAAAGCGAAATTGGTCAACTGTGGCAGTGTCCGCCCTTCCAGCTTCACAGCTTTGCGAATGACCCGCACGCAATTTACACTACACGCGCACGTGCAGCATCTCGATACAACAGTGCCTGACATAGCTTGTGCGTGGCCTGTAACGTATGTTATGAAGGGGCCCTAAAATAAAATAAAATCACGTAAATATTAAAACACGTAAATGTTTAACTTGCATAGTAAAGTAATTGTATTTTTGTTCATTTGCTATAAAGCCAGCTAATACGACAAATCGCTAACCTTAAGCACCCGCTCCGTTCATAAAAGTTGAAGGCGGTATAGTGCTATAGTAACAGAGCAAGAGCACAATCACTGAACGGGATTGATAGCTTGAAAGCGTTTAGCGCGGAGGGCACTTGAAACCGCGGTGCCCGTAGCTGCACGTGTAGATACTTGTGCTACTAATCCGGCACTGAAAACACGCACAAAGACACCCGCACCCCGTATAGCAAACAGCGCTTGCCCCAGCACTTGTTGGGGCAAGCGCTGTTTGCGAGCACCTGAATGGAGGCCGGCACGGCAGGCAGCGCCTTTGTGGCGGCTGTGTTGACCCATTTGAGGCCGAGCCGACCTAGGGGAGGCCCACGACTGCTTCAAGGTATTCGTCACGGATGGGGTTTTTTTGGGGGGGGGGGGCGGGAATCGAACTCGGGTGGCCGAGGTTCACCAGATCAGTTGCCATAACCGCCACACACTCGCTAAGCACGTTGCGTTTTAAGTCAACAACAACAACAAACGAACCCGGAGTGATTTTCTGCTCACCAGACACCGCCGCGTCGCTCACCATGAATCCATCGACCACCACCACCACACCGCTCACCAGCAACAAACTTTCACGTCTCGCAGTCTGAGTTACCACCAACAACAACCACCACCGCCAGCAACAACCACCACCACCAGCAGCACTTTGTGGGAAGGGCCGGGCCTGAGTCACGGCAGCGTCACTGGGGGGCGTGTGGAGGGTTTGTGGTGGTGAATGTGTAGGTGTGTGTGGTGGTGAATGTGTAGGTGTGTGTGTGTGGTGGTGGTGAATGTGTAGGTGTGTGTGGTGGTGAATGTGTAGGTGTGTGTGTGGTGGTGGTGGTGGATGTGTAGGTGTGTGGTGGTGGTGGTGGTGAATGTGTAGGTGTGTGGTGGTGGTGGTGGTGGTGAATGTGTAGGTGTGTGGTGGTGGTGGTGAATGTGTAGGTGTGTGGTGGTGGTGGTGAATGTGTAGGTGTGTGTTTGTGGTGGTGAATGTGTAGGTGTGTTTGTGGTGGTGGTGAATGTGTAGGTGTGTGTGTTTGTGGTGAATGTGTAGGTGTGTGTGGTGGTGGTGAATGTGTAGGTGTGTGTTTGTGGTGAATGTGTGTGTTTGTGGTGGATGTGTAGGTGTGTGTGTGGTAGTGGTGAATGTGTAGGTGTGTGTTCGTGGTGAATGTGTAGGTGTCTGTTTGTGGTGGTGGATGTGTAGGTGTGTGTGTGGTGAATGTGTAGGTGTGTGTTTGTGGTGGATGTGTAGGTGTGTGTGTGGTGGTGGTGGTGAATGTGTAGGTGTGTGTGTGGTGGTGGTGAATGTGTAGGTGTGTGTGGTGGTGAATGTGTAGGTGTGTGTGTGGTGGTGAATGTATAGGTGTGTGTTTGTGGTGGTGGTGGTGAATGTGTAGGTGTGTGTGTGGTAGTGGTGAATGTGTAGGTGTGTGTGTGGTGGTGGTGAATGTGTAGGTGTGTGTGGTGGTGAATGTGTAGGTATGTGTGTGGTGGTGGTGAATGTGTAGGTGTGTGTGTGTTTGTGGTGAATGTGTAGGTGTGTTTGTGGTGGTGGTGGTGAATGTGTAGTTGTGTGTGTGGTGGTGGTGAATGTGTAGGTGTGTGTTTGTGGTGGTGAATGTGTAGGTGTGTGTGTGGTGGTGGTTAATGTGTAGGTGTGTTTGTGGTGGTGAATGTGTAGGTGTGTGTGTGGTGGTGGTTAATGTGTAGGTGTGTTTGTGGTGGTGAATGTGTAGGTGTGTGTGTGGTGGTGGTGAATGTGTAGGTGTGTGTTTGTGGTGAATGTGTAGGTGTGTGTGGTGGTGGTGAATGTGTAGGTGTGTGGTGGTGGTGGTGAATGTGTAGGTGTGTGTGTGGTGGTGGTGAATGTGTAGGTGTGTGTGTGGTGGTGGTGAATGTGTAGGTGTGTGGTGGTGGTGGTGAATGTGTAGGTGTGTGTGTGTGGTGGTGAATGTGTAGGTGTGTGTGTGGTGGTGAATGTGTAGGTGTGTGTGTGGTGGTGGTGAATGTGTAGGTGTGTGTGTGGTGGTGGTGAATGTGTAGGTGTGTTTGTGGTGAATGTGTAGGTGTGTGTGTGGTGGTGGTGAATGTGTAGGTGTGTGTGTGGTGGTGGTGAATGTGTAGGTGTGTGTGTGGTGGTGGTGAATGTGTAGGTGTGTGTGTGTGGTGGTGGTGGATGTGTAGGTGTGTGTGTGTGGTGGTGAATGTGTAGGTGTGTGTGTGGTGGTGGTGAATGTGTAGGTGTGTGTGTGGTGGTGGTGAATGTGTAGGTGTGTGTGTGGTGGTGGTGAATGTGTAGGTGCGTGTTTGTGGTGGTGGTGGTTAATGTGTAGGTGTGTGTGGTGGTGGTGAATGTGTAGGTGTGTGTTTGTGGTGGTGGTGGATGTGTAGGTGTGTGTTTGTGGTGGTGGTGAATGTGTAGGTGTGTGTTTGTGGTGGTGAATGTGTAGGTGTGTGTGTGGTGGTGGTGAATGTGTAGGTGTGTGGTGGTGGTGAATGTGTAGGTGTGTGTGTGGTGGTGGTGAATGTGTAGGTGTGTGTTTGTGGTGGTGAATGTGTAGGTGTGTGTGTGGTGGTGGTGAATGTGTAGGTGTGTGTGTGGTGGTGGTGAATGTGTAGGTGTGTGTTTGTGGTGAATGTGTAGGTGTGTGTTTGTGGTGGTGAATGTGTAGGTGTGTGTGTGGTGGTGGTGAATGTGTAGGTGTGTGTTTGTGGTGAATGTGTAGGTGTGTTTGTGTTGGATGTGTAGGTGTGTGTTTGTGGTGGTGGTGAATGTGTAGGTGTGTGTTTGTGGTGGTGAATGTGTAGGTGTGTGTGTGTGGTGGTGGTGAATGTGTAGGTGTGTGTGTGTGGTGGTGGTGAATGTGTAGGTGTGTGTGTGTGTGGTGGTGAATGTGTAGGTGTGTGTTTGTGGTGAATGTGTAGGTGTGTTTGTGGTGAATGTGTAGGTGTGTGTTTGTGGTGAATGTGTAGGTGTGTGTTTGTGGTGGTGGTGGATGTGTAGGTGTGTGTTTGTGGTGGTGGTGGTGAATGTAGTGGGGGAGCGGTAGTGTTGCGGTTAGCGCTACGCTGCGCTACGAACCTGGCGATTCCCGCTCACTGCCAACGCCGGTGAAGATTATTTGAACCGGTCCTGGGCCTCCCCTAGGTCGATTCAGCCTCAATGAGTACCTGGTGCTGTGCTTAAAAACATCGCCATCCGGGGGACAAAGGCGGTCGGGCGTGGTGCTGGCCACCCACCCGCTCGTGTGCCGTTCTGGCCTTCATAGCTGCTCGCTAACAGCCCCCAACAGTCTGTTAAGGCTATACGGGGGGGAGATCTTTCTTCTTTAATGAGGGTGTATAAAGGTGTGTGTATGTGCGCATATTTCAGCCTTACCCGATGTTAAAAATCCGCTCCGGGGAGCCCAAAAGGCGTCCGCGGCGTGGTGGTGGTGGTGGTGCTGTCGAGTTGCGACCAAACCTCGCCTCCCTCGTGCGCCTTGTCCGCCCTCTTCTCTCCCTCACTCACTCACCGGCACTTGCCCACAACGAGTCTGTGTTAGGCTGCGTGAGTGCGGCTCTGTCTTTGAGATGAAGCCGCTTGCTGCTGCTGCTGCTCCTGCTGCTCGCTGCTGTGTGACTCGATAGACCTCCGTGTGACTGCGAGTCTCTGCAAACCACACGCTGCCCTGAGACTCACCGGAGCCGGGCGAAGTGCCCAGACGTTGAGACGTTGCCTCCTGGAATATTTACTCAACATCATCTCACCCACGATAAACAATAGCCCCCAAAAGCGGAACACGCGGTGGATGAGCGAGCTTGGCTTACAGTGACTCTTTTATATCACCTGTAAGGAGCCTGCAAGGTCGAAATTTATGGCAGCTACGAGCGCTGATTGTAAGAGGGTCTTTTTCTTCCGCTAGTTGCCGCATCTGTTGCACAGTCACCCCGCCCGGCCGCTTTTGTCTCCCAAGTGACGGTGTTTTTACCCACCGCACCAGGCACTTATTTGAGGCCGATAATCGTCGAGCAGGAATCAAACTTTGGGACAGCGAGCTTGCCGCTACGCTACATTCACCGTTACGACCACAACTACGACCATCGCTACTCTCACCAGCACACCGCAGCATGGATAAACTCAAGTGTTCTTCATACATTTGCAGAGGGGAGGGGGGGGTGGCACACTTTCGACGATAGGACATCATCAGTGCGAGGGCCGCCACACTTTTTGAAACCAACGATTGGGGGTTTGTACAGCAGCACGATGATGGAGGTGATGGAGGTGGTGGAGGTGATGGAGGTGATGGAGGTGGTGGAGGTGATGGAGGTGGTGGAGGTGATGGAGGTGGTGGAGGTGATGGAGGTGGTGGAGGTGATGGAGGTGATGGAGGTGATGGAGGTGGTGGAGGTGATGGAGGTGATGGAGGTGGTGGAGGTGATGGAGGTGGTGGAGGTGGTGGAGGTGATGGAGGTGGTGGAGGTGGTGGAGGTGGTGGAGGTGATGGAGGTGGTGGAGGTGATGGAGGTGGTGGAGGTGATGGAGGTGGTGGAGGTGATGGAGGTGGTGGAGGTGATGGAGGTGGTGGAGGTGGTGGAGGTGATGGAGGTGATGGAGGTGGTGGAGGTGATGGAGGTGGTGGTGATGGAGGTGGTGGAGGTGATGGAGGTGGTGGAGGTGATGGAGGTGGTGGAGGTGGTGGAGGTGATGGAGGTGGTGGAGGTGATGGAGGTGGTGGAGGTGATGGAGGTGGTGGAGGTGATGGAGGTGGTGGAGGTGATGGAGGTGGTGGAGGTGGTGGAGGCGATGGAGGCGATGGAGGCGATGGAGGTGGTGGAGGCGATGGAGGTGGTGGAGGCGATGGAGGTGGTGGAGGCGATGGAGGTGGTGGAGGTGGTGGAGGTGATGGAGGTGGTGGAGGTGGTGGAGGTGGTGGAGGTGGTGGAGGTGATGGAGGTGGTGGAGGTGATGGAGGTGGTGGAGGTGATGGAGGTGATGGAGGTGGTGGAGGTGGTGGAGGTGATGGAGGTGATGGAGGTGATGGAGGTGGTGGAGGTGATGGAGGTGGTGGAGGTGATGGAGGTGGTGGAGGTGATGGAGGTGGTGGAGGTGATGGAGGTGGTGGAGGTGATGGAGGTGATGGAGGTGATGGAGGTGATGGAGGTGGTGGAGGTGATGGAGGTGGTGTGTTTTCACGTGTTGTGTATTGTCAGGAGTTGCACTACAGGACCACCAGGGGCCGCGGGCCTTGCAATGACGAGCACTCGTTGAGATCTTCCCCTCCTCGGTGAGGAGGAGGAGGAGCGATGCGCTCTTGCGTGTGCGGGGCTTAACGCGAGAACATCTCTGCATCACGTAGAGCGCGGAGATGAGAAGTCTACGACGGCTGTCGACGGCGAGAGACGGCTGCAGTTGACTTCGATGCTGCTGATGAGCACAGCAGGAAATACCCCGGCCCGCCCCCGCTTCAAGCGTGAAACATGAAACGTTCCAACCTTTGCGATGCTTGTACAGACAGTAAAAGTGTTACGCCAACTGGCCAAGTGTGTCCTCCCCCCCCGCCCCGGAAGACACGGGGAACGGCGGCGTCGAACGGAGGCACGTCACGGGTCAAATTTCATCGATCGCACAGCGCTGGGTGGCGAGAGATTATATCTGGGGAGGGGCGCTGGATCCATCAAATTCACGAGGGGGGTGGGGTAAGGGCTCGGCGTCCTCTTCCTCCGCTCCCGTCTCTAGACTCAAGCCCAGTGCCGGATTATGTGTAGCTGCACGTGTAGCTGCACGTGTAGCTGCACGTGTAGCTGCACGTGTAGCTGCACGTGTAGCTGCACGTGTAGCTGCACGTGTAGCTGCACGTGTAGCTGCACGTGTAGCTGCACGTGTAGCTACGGGCCCCGCACTTTCAAGGGCCCCGCGCTAAATGCTTTCAAGCTATCAATTCCGTTTCAGTGATTCTGCACTTGCTCTATTACTATAGTACTATACCACCTTCAACTTTTATGAACGACCGGGTGTTTAAGGTTAGCGATTTGTCGTATTATCTGGCTGTATAGAAAATGAAAAAAATACAATTACTTTACTATGCAAGTTAAAAATTTGTGTTTTAACATGTTTTATTTATTTAGGCCCCTTCACAACATATGCTACAGGCCCCGCGCTAGCTTAATCCGGCACTGGTCAAACCCCAGGTGTGCAATAGGAAATGGTCTTTGTAGGATTGGAATGTGTCGCGTTGAAATCTTGAAAACACGTTTCGTTCCAGCCGTCTTTATTTATTGTGTGCATGTTTGAACGAATATTCTGATGGACTACTTTCGCACCGTACGCAGCCAACCGTGCAAACCTGAGGTGTGGGGTAAGAACAAACCACAAAAAGTATTTTTAAAGAAACGAGTTTTCAATCTAGAGTGAAAAGTCCATAGCTCCAGTTGTTTGCTCATATCGGAAGGAAGAGCGTTCCAGACGGCCGCAGAAGCGCATCTGAAAGCGCGCAATGCGGTGATCGCCGTATTTGTTCGACAGGAAGCGGAGTTCGCGCGATGGTCGATGCCCATTGACGAGATCAGTGAGTTTATAAGTTAGGCGCAAGAACGGACAAATGATGTTTTGAGTTGATACGTCATTGCAAAACGCCCATGAATAATCGGCAAGCATAGCGCTATATACACAGGGTGGCCCAAACGTCAGGACACACAGGCTTATTTAATTAACTTTAGCACTGGCATTAAAACATTTACATTATTTAAGTTCGTATTTTATCTATTATCGCGACGAAATATATATTCTTCCTTCCTTTTTAGGTGGCATTAAGTAGAATGAATTGAGACCAAACTTAATCGATAAATGTTCCAAGGTCACACGCCGGGGCCTTTACCACAACAAAGTCCACATTCATTTCAAAAGAGACTTCACGAGTGCATGCATTCGTGTTAATGGGAATCCGGGTTTTTTAAACACGTGACAATACATTAAGGCAAAAATGTGATTTGTTGAAATATCAAATAGCCCGTGTCCTTGACTCTTCGGCCACCCTACGGAAGCAATGCTGTGTATTGTATTGAAAGACTTTTAGTTTATCTCGCGTCCATTGAGAATGTCTGACGTATAATTGTTGTTGTGCATGTTTACCCAGGAATGCGTCACCGAGTCTCGACTCTAAGTTTTAGTAGTAGGAGGGCGATGTTGTTGCTGCTGCTGGCCACGCCACCCCCTCGTGCACCATGCCAGCCTCCATAGAGTTTCAGTTTATTTATTTTGGTATAGCCCTGTGAGCCATTCGGCTCTTGAATCGGGTGCAACCACAACAAACAAAAACACAAACAAGAAAAAAACATCTTAAAGTGACTATGTGACTGTGCAAACAGAAAACCCATGAAAAAACAGCAAAAATATTCCTGAAAAAAAAGCACCGTACACCAACGCTGTGTGCAAAAAAATATCAGTGTACGTGCTCGCTAATAGCACTTGCCCTAACTCTGTGAAAGTCTACACGGGGGATCGTTGTCTTTGTGTGTGGTGCTGGCCACCCACCCTCGTGTACCGTGCCGGCCTTCATAGGTGCTCGCTAACAGCACTTGCCCTAACAATCTGTCAAAGGCATATTTGTTTTTGTAATCCAATGGGTCATTTGCAGGTACATATTTTCGGCATTGGAATGTTTGGCCAATACCAGTTACATTGTGTGTGGGGTTTATGTTTTATCTACAGGAGTAAACCCATGCGCACCATGGGGAGAACGTAAGAAACTCCACGCTTGAAGGCGCCCGAGATGGGAATCGAACCCTGTCACTTTCTGAATGTGATGAAAAAGTGTTGCAACCTGCGCCACTCTGGACAGAGAACAGAAGAGGTTTCAACGATCTGGCTTCTCCGCTTCCGCATCTTCTCGGGAACTTTGTCTACCTCCCCCGCCCGTCTCAATCTTTTCCTTTGATTAAAGGAAAAAAATAAGTGTGAGTTACGTTTTTAATTGACCGTATTCTCCAGATTATAAGACGCTCTGAAACACAGAATGCACTCCAAACGTGTGCCCCGTACCAATAACGTTATATATGTTAGATACACACACACTTAATACGGGGGGGGAGCGGGATCTTATATTCTGGAGAATACGGTAATGTGATGGTCACGTGGTGGTGTCCGCAGACGAAACAGAGCACAGCATTGGGGTGACATCGGAACACGTCCGAAGTGAGACAAAACATCTCGATGTGTCGTCACGCCTTATACATTTGTTCAGAAATAGTGGAAGAGGGGGGGGGTGACAATTCGTTTTATTTGAAAACATTCAACAAAAAGGGGCCCAGCGGCAGCGCGTTCGCCGGTTGTTGCGGAGGTTCACGGTTCGCATCTAGCGACCGCCCTGGTTATAGCTGCGGGTGTGCTAACCGTAGTAATAATAGTAGCACGCGCCGTCGGATGCGCTCACAGTGCACGTTAAAGATCCCTCGAGGTAATTGGCAAGAGCAGGCCAACTGTGTGCGACCGGCGGTCGATGTCCACACTTGGACAGATTCTAAACATGCACCGCAAAATGTCTCAAATCTAGGACTCGACACACACAGCAGCAGCAGCAGCAATCATCGCTCCCCCCCCCCCGCCCCCCAACACTGGCAGACTGATGCTCCAGGTCCACCCCCTTGCAAAAGTGACTCCCCCATCCTGGTCTCTTTGCGTTTTCCACTCAGGTAAAAGAAATTAGCTTGAAAGTTGTCGCAGGCGACTTGGGGGCGACTTGGCATGACGTAGAAAAATCAAAAACCGCGGCGGGGGAGAGAGGGGTGGCTCGAAAGCGAACGCTCGATTTTGCAACTGTTTATTTTTATTTTTTTTGTTTTTACCATACAAGCGATAGCAAGCATAACAAGTGAAAACTTAATTCTTATAGCGTATAGCGCGTATGGGTGGCTAAGCACATACAAACTAAAACAAGATAGAATGCGGAGCGCGAAGCGAAACCGTTGCAGCCATGCCTCGAGCAAGTGATGGCAGAGCAGCGCTCTTCATTGCGAGGCCCCGTGGGCCACTGGCGGGCCCTGGTGGCCCTTTCGTGCGGCCCCTGACGCGCGCTCCCCCCCCCCCCCCCCCCCGTGACAATACCCACAGAGTGAAACCCCCCCCCATCATCGTGCTGCTGCCACAACCCCCCCCCCCCCCCCCCCCATAGTTTAAAAAGTGAGACGGCACCTTCACACACTGATGATGTCTTATCGGCGAATGTAAGGGGTGGGGGGCGGGCTACCCCGCCCCCCCCCCCTCTGAAAATCAGTGAAGAACGCCACAAAGATCGTGCCTGGGGC